TTTTCGTCTCTTTTGCACAGAGACAATTAGTCATCTCTCTCACACAGACTTCAAAAATATGAGTGAATGACATATTGCAGATATGTACTAAAATATTAAAAATAGGTGGGAGTTAGACTTGTTGATTAATCACTAACTTATCAATTATTTACTATAATTTTATAATTATCAAAAAATGATAATTAAATCGTATTTTTTCATTAGAATCTCATTAGTTGTAGCGATACTACTGCTATTATTTTTAGTAGTAGCGTTATCAGCATTGGTGCTTATATCTATTTTATTAGTAAAAGCGTCTCTAGTCCTGTGACATGGGCTATCGACAAGAATTTTTAGTAATATGTTGTGTATATGATGTACTCTGTGGGAATATGGAATCACGGAGGGAGAGATTAGGCAGTGAAGAAGATAAATGAAATGATCTTGTGAAGCATTATAGAAAGCATGAACTTGTCTTCTGAATATATAAAGGTAGAACGGATGTATGCTGAGGAGACTGTCGAGCAACATTGTGTGTCAGACTATTGTTCGAGTGGAAGTCAAATGTGAAACGACAATTTTTGTCGTCTGGAGGTAGCATAGACGAGATTGTGTCAAGTGGAAATGAAAGTTTATGAGTAATAGTGGGGACACATGAAGAGGACTGTAGAGAACAGGACGAAATAAGGGGGGTGTTGTCGAAGCTGTATGCTGCACTCGGAACTCTAAGAAATAATAGTAGTAATAACCACAAGTCTGTTCAAATAGTTAACTAGAATTTGGGTGATTCGAATGTTATACATGTCAGTATGCCTAACAGTTAATCTGTTTTTACAAGTTTGACCACCGATTGATATCACATAGGGAACCATTGAAAACCAGCACTGGAAGAATGGACAGCTGCTTCATCCTAGTTTGGCAGCCATTGCCAGTGAGCGTCCACCACCAGGGTTTGAACCCTGGACCTTCTGATTACAAGGCAAGTTCGTGTAATATTCACCTTATGAATTCAAACTTCTACCAATTCGTGATTTAGCGCGACCACAAACCAATGTCATCGGTGGGACATCCATCCGCACGCTTGACATCTGGACGAACCTCACTGCTGACAACTACTCACTGGAACTGCAGAAACTCCGTCTTGTAACAGTTAAAATTCATGGGTTGGCCAATGAATTGGGTCCTAGTAGCTGAATGATATATGAGCCAGCTTGCCTTGTAACCGGGAGGTCCTGGGTTCGAACCCCGCGGTGTGAGTGCGTACTGTCAATGATTCTCAAACTGGCAGGAAACAGCTGTCCAGTATTCCAGTGCTCTAATTGATATTAATCCGTGATCAAACTCGTAAAAAACAATTTTAATCCTTACAAACCAATTCCTGATAACAGTTGGTCGATATCAAGCTATTCTTTCAGTAGGTATCTGTGGTTCTTACTGGTGATCACAGTGATGAAGACATTTAACCTTTTTACACTCTGTACATCTCGCACTAACATTCAGACAGTATCTTCATTCTTCATTCTAAATGTATGAAATATCCTCAGTTTTTAAATGTGTCACACGAGATAAGTATTTCTTTCATGACTAAATACATATATATATATATATTTACTAATCATTAAAATCAGCTACGTTTCGGAGCACAGATGGTAGGTCGTTACACCAGTAAGCCAACAGTAGTCGGTAAAATTCCTGTTGTGACTCAAATTGACATTTCGATTGCAACCATCACTTATTCTATCGGTAGTTAAGTGGTCTTCGAATGTAACATCATTCATGGATAAATCCACCTTAAGTTTCTCAAAATTTGTGTAATTGACCGTTGGTATGGGAAAATAAAGCAATACTTCGTGTGTGGCGAGTACTACTGATAAGGTTTTGTAAGTAGTCTATTGTGCGTCACGCGTTGTGCAAAAATTCTGAACAACAGGAGAGTAGAACAAACGTCAAAGATAAATGTAAGATACTTGTGAAACAGTATGGTGAGCAGGAAGCTAAGACGGAAGAAGTACAAAACGAAGAAAATGGGCAAATGAAGATTTCAGTGTAGGATTTTTGCATTTGACCATAAATATACATCGTTTCGCCTAATAAGCAGTCTTGCTATATCCTGCCACTTTGTCTGATGTCGCCTCCTTCTACCAGATGAAAACCCTATGGCCTGCAACTTATGAAAAGGGAGATATCCAGATATTCCTGAGAGATTTTGAAGCCGTTGCTAGGCTGGCGAGCATCCAGACAATTGTGTTGAGGATGTTTCATGTGGAGGTAGTGCAGAGATGTCGTGGACGAATGTAATTCAGAGTTTAACAGACTGGCAGACAAACAAGGAGTGTTACAGAAATTTAGCAGCCTATGGCTTGGTACAGATGTAGATCCAATAATTTTAGCAGTAGCAATTAAAAACCTTCAGTGATACGCATCACAGACAATCCCGTAATTATCGAATACCAAGAAGCCTGCAAGTTTGGATAGCAGATCAAAGAGCTTCAGAAACAGAAAACAGTGGTTGGAAGAACAATGAAGTAGATTGTAGAGTATTTGCCCCGGAGGAGAAAGGAGAAATGAATGTTTTAGATGGTATAATCTTCCTTCATTCTTCCCGTGTTAGTTCTGAAGTTGTAGCATTGATCGAAAGAAAGACTGTGTATAAAAGAACACGAGTAGATGTGCAACAGTTAGTTTGTAGTGTTTATATTAGTACTAGTATCACTAATATTACTTGGATAAATATTAGTATAAATATTAGTTAAGCTGTCTTTACTGACAGAATCATAATTGTACACGCCCATAGGGGAAATGAAATAGAGTGAGGAATAATTAATTATTACTTCGAAGTTCTCTTGGAACTTCATATTTCAGAGCAGGTCGAGATACAGAGAGATGCCAGTTAGAGAACCCTTGAAAACTCTTATACTATACGAGATTATCCACGCATGAGTCTATCAACAACTAAACTTAAGTTGGTCAATGAATGAGGCGAACAATTTCTCAATCAGCCGTTGTATTTGAGTCAATTGGTGTATGAATGCAAACTTTTCTCAGTTTTACCGATATATCAATAGTTGTTGAGTACTTCAAGGATGCCAGCGATTTAGGTGGCTGAGAAATCTACCTTCGAAATATGTTAATTAAATTAAAAGTTAAAATGTTTAATCACTAACAGAGTGACTGCTTATTGTTAAACATAATGTGATCGTTTGCATTCAACCTTCCCTTCTCCTCAAAAGTGAAGCATCATCAACTATATTAAAAGCAATTTTAGATTTTCCCGTCGACTGATTTGAACGAAGTATTCGGTCTTAGGTCGACTTGTCGGCTTCTTGTGCAGATGCTTCGACGATGTCTGATGACGAGTCCCAAATAGGACGAAATGCACGTTATCCTGGATTCCACTGCTAGTCACCATCCACCATTTACCTTCTATATTAAAGCAGTAATTGTTACTCATAAGACTATATACTACTGGTTGATTGGAATGAGTAGTTGGATATCATTCACATGAACAACCAGTAATTTTTGTCAACCAGCCACATCTAAATGATCTAGGCATTAGACAACAGTTTCACTCATTTAATGTAACAGCAGGGTGGAGCGTGAGATTGATAACAGAAGCTGTCTTTATCGAATCACCTGCAAACCAACCAGAGTAATAGGAATAATTCAACCCAGATATCTGGATAATTCTACTACCCAAACAACGACAAAGGAAACTATAAAACTCAAGTTTCGAAGTCATGTGTTTATAATCAATGAAACGATTATGAACAATAATAGATTGTGTTCGAAACTTTGTCATCCAGTAAATAGGAATACTGTCACACTCAATATGTGTGATACATTTAATAAACTAACTAATGCGGAGATACCATATTTGGTCCACCAGCCTTCTGTGTGAAAGATTTTGGTGTTATATGTGAAACTTACTACTAACGGTGTGATTAGCATGATAAAAAAAATGGCTCAATTATTCGCCCTATATTTATAATTTTATGATCACACTCATTATCTCCATAATCTTGTAATTATGTGTTATTAGTACTAATATTATTATTATTCCTATCATAATTTGCATTTTCACATTTTGACTCTTCTGACGCTAAATGTTGATAGATGTTATCGATAGTTTTGGTTAAGTGTATTCTGTGAAGTAGTTTTTTTCTGTTGTTGTAGTCGTTATTGAGTAAACTAGATGCAATATCGTACCAAATGTTGGAGATGCCATACTGTATCATAAGTACTACTGTTTTGGAATAAGGCAAATCATTATTATTATTATTGATTTGTGACATACGCCTGATATTCAGGTATAAAAAAGATGAGTGACTAGCAGTGAGTTTCATAGGATGCATTTCGACCTATTTGTGACTTGTCAGCTGATTGTGATTGCATTACCAGTGTGGGTGATGCTGTTTTCATTAGGAATCTAACCCATCATTTCTTACGCTAACAGGCCAGTGAACCATGAAAACCTCTTCTTGTGCAACCGATATTAGTTAATATTTTATGAAATAATTATTTTTAATTCCCCTTTTTATTCATTACATTATGCTGATATCATCGGCCCAGTTAATTTGTGGACTTCTGTGAATAGCGCTTTGATGATGTGTTTCATCAGGTTGACTCATTGTTTTTTGGTTCATGGTAGCTACTGACGGCATGATGATTCGATGGTTCAATTGTGGAATACTCGTCAACTGCTCACTCTGTTGGTCTGAGGTTTGGTCTCCTACCGGTACACTTTTAAACTTCGCCAAATTTACTAGCTAACCGGATGTCTGATAAGAGAGTAAAGTCAAAGTTGAGTCTAACAATCTTGCCTCATGAAAACAATGTCAAGTCTCCTGAAACTTCGAGGCTTCCATTGGGAACTGAATAAATTAAAAAACCTGAGCAGTTGATGAAACCCGAATAGATCAGAAACCTTGTCATGAATTTCACATTACGTTTTCAATGAATTATTTTCTACACGTAGTCATAATAATTTATAAATATAAAATCCAGCTATTAGGGATTAGTTGATCAACTTCAAACTATGCAACACCTTTCTTTACTCAAGTTAATTTTTCAGCGATTTTCACGAAATCTTCAATGATAAGAGAAAACAACGTTAAATGTGATTTTTAAAAATGATGAGAAATTCATGCATTGATCAGCTGATTAAAATTTTGGAATAACAACAAGTTATCAAAACAAACAAAAAATAATAAAATAAAATAATGAACATTTGATAAATGCTCAGAAATGCAAAGAATAGACAGGAAAGTAAGAGAGGGTAAACAGCAAAATCTTTGAAAAATGTTTATCCTTGGTAAAGTAAATCATTTGGAATGTGAAAATGCAGAAATTGACCTTGAATATCAACATTAAAACACACACAATCACACACGCATACACACAGTTAGAGAATATTGGACAAACAAAACAGCGAAGACATTGAAAAAATGAGACAAAAATCACTGCAAAATGGTGTCCGGAAGTATTCAGAAAGTAGGTTGCATTTCGGTTATACGCATGTATTTATATATATGTGTCATTTGAGACAAATGAATATGATTGGACGAGCCAACATGTCTGTCTTGTATATATTATTGACTTTCTTTGGAATCCTTAATTGTGATTGGTTATTTTGAGAAGGGCAGACATTTACATTTATAGATTTGCGTGTTGAATTTTGATTGTAATACCGCCTGAAAAAATGGAGAAATTTCGTAGTGTAAATAAACAAACAATAATAACAATAGTAATAATAATAATAATTGTTATTTCGAATGTGCTCTTTCTCCAATTTTATAATTTCCTTTTAATTTGTGTTTTTGTTGTTGTCAAAATAGTAGTACGAATCGACTATTAATTATTTTGTCATTTTGTTTTCCCGAATTTCTAAAACAATTTTCTTGTGCTGAAGGAAAACAATACGCAACTTGTTCAGGAAATTGAGATTAAGATATCCATAGACGATGTTCAAATGAAAAAACAATGCATAGTTACGATGGAAACACTTGATACTTTACTTATTCTAAAAATAATGTGATGAGAGCAGGCTGCTAGCCAATTGGTAGACATTGATTTACGTCAATGTCTATGTCGCTAATATTGGTCGTGAGAAAATATGAACAAGACTGATTCAACAACCAATCACAGCAGACTTGGAGTATAGATTATCTGACATTCAAGAAACAGCCACAAAGAGATGCAAAGTCAACTTTCTATAAGAAACAGCCAATCAGAATACTGTGTTTGTCTGCTTGAATAAGCTATAATAATGTACATGAAATATATATAAATACGTGTTGATTTCCTTATTAAACCATCCGTTGCCTGATTCTTGGCTTCTGTTGTTACAGTTGGTGTCGCTGCCTCCGAACAATGAAGATCCCATGGCCAACTGCGTTTGAGGAAGGAGACATACGGAGCTTCTTACATGACTTCAAGGACGTTGCTGAATTGGTTAGTGTCAAGAAGCAGGCTGTGAAGGCGGTTGTGCTGGCGACGCTGTTGAGAGGCCGAGCGACGGCGGCATGTGACAGCGTAGAGAGGTCAGATGGCACAGCGTCTTGGAAGGCATTGGTTGAACGATTGGTGTCGGAGTTTGACAGCGTAACAGACAGACAGCTAGCAATGCAGCAGTTCCGTCCGAAGCTGGGACCTGATGGAGACCCGTTAGTGTTGGCGGTGAAATTGACGAATCAACTTCGACGTGCACTTCCCACTTTGGATGAGGAATCAGAAGCTCAGTTGCTGAGTTCCCAGTTCATCGAGAGTATTCCAGACCACATTTCTCAGCGATTACGACTGGTTAACGCAACGCAGCCGATGGATTTTAATGAGCTGGCGAAGGTGACCAGACAGCTGCTGAGCACAACTAGAGCCTCTATAGAGCAACCAAAACCAAAGAAATACGAGCAGAAGATCGAAGAGTTGAAACGTGAAGTAGCCACGCTGAGACTGAACGTGTGGAGAGGCCGGTGTTTCGCATGTGGTAAACTGGGCCACTAGAGAAACCGCTGCCCGGAGAGACGACAAAGGAGAGGTTTCAAAAGATATACCATGTCTTCTTCCTGTGTTCTGAGACTTCAGGTAATAGGGGTGGTAGCGAAGGGGGCTGTATATTCGAAGTTATGTGCAAATGACCGCGAATTGATGTGTTTATTTGACACAGAGGCAGCAGTCTCACTCATAGATAAGAGCCTATGTGAGAGTATAACATCGTGTTCGTTGACAGTACAGACAATGGGGGGTCACGTGCTAATAATCGAAGAAGTGTCGGACTGCAGAGTTAGAACTGGAAAGGATAGTGTGACGTTCCCATTCCTGGTCGTACCTGAATTGCTCCAAACAATCCTTGAGGCAGACTTTTTGCGAGAAGTTGATGCAGTGATTAATATGGAGAAAAAGAATTGTCGTTACAAAGTATGGTTGTTTCAGCGTGCACGAGAATAGTGAGGTAACAGGGATTGCGGCGTTGGAAGTCCTAAGTGTAGCAAAGTTACTTAGCAAATACAACCATCTTTTCACTGGAGAGGGAGATCCGTACGGTTACTGTGATAAAGTGAGACATGAAATTCTAGTAACAAGTGGAAAAGTGAGACCATTCTTTACTCGAGGAGTCCCATGTTACTTAGAAAGAGAGGTTGTGAGACAGGTTGAAGAGATGTTGAGGGATGACATTATTGAAGAAACCGATAGTCCATACAGTTCTCCAGTGCTATTGGTGAAGAAAAGCAACGGGAAATACAGATTTTATGTTGATTTCCGACAGTTGAACAGTATAACACAGCTGAGACAGTGCGCGATGCCAAAAATAGCAGAAACTTTGGATCACTTACAAAGTGCGAAGCTGTTCACAGTCTTGTTCATATTTTCTCACGACTCATATTAATGTCTACCAATTGGCTAGCAGCCTCCTCTCACCACAATAATACTCTCGATAATGAGTAGAGAGAATTGGAGAGAGGCAGAAGGTAGTGAGTCATATTAGGTACACTCGATGTCATTCTAACTAGCGATATATTGAAGAACTATAAAATTATTCATTTCAATGTAAGATGAATGATAAAGAAATATTTTTAAAATTGCATTTAGTCCCTACGTTTTAATGACTGGCATGTTTCCACTAATTAATCCTGACTACGATCTGTCGATCACGTTTACAATATAGTTGGGGTACATTTAGGACTAATGATAGATAGTTTCAGTAAATAAGACGAAAGTTTTGATTGTAACTCAAATAGGTCAACGTGAGCATTGCTGATTGAGGCAGTGATTCCTGTGGGTTTATATATATATTTCTTTGAGTTTGAAGGCACACTTTTCTAGTGACTATACATGAAAACAAACTCCATGACCTCCTATTGGTTAGATTTAATCATCAAGGACTGTAAGAGAATTCAAACCAGGATAAGACTAAACAAATGGTCCTCTAGCCGATGTCAGTTCATGATCAAATCCTATCAAACAAAATCCCTACAAAACCGATACTTGAAAAAAAATATTATATTTTTTTCTAGTACCAGCCTCATGTATTTAAAATAAGAATGTAGACTTTACAATTGTAGAGTATTTTACGAAGAATTCAAATCAACTAATGTTGTTGCAAATCTCTACCAACTGAAGATAACTGAGACGTCGTCTTTTATTCTCAGTGACTAGTTCTCTCTGAAATAAGAATCAACTGGAGAGCATCACTCTCCGTGTTGGTGCAAAGAAAATTCTTCTTAAAAAGTCGAAATTCTCCTCCAAAGGATATCAATGAGTGGGTCACCTTTGACCCTTTGAAGTCAAGGTTCATATAAAATACGTTTTCTCGGCACGGATGTCATCTTTTGCTTTAGGATTTTCTGTTTGATGTTTTTGTCTATCAAACTTGATGGATAACCGTTTTATATGAAAATTTATTTCAAGAATTGTAGTTCTTCTTCCAGAGTATCAGAGCTGCAGATGCATCGGACACGAGTGGAAAGAGATCAAAATAGGTTTCCTTGTCGACTGATTGGTACCCAGCTGTAGAAGTTTGTCAGTTGGTCGTTCCATGTGGGCTTCCTATGGATTGACCTTCCTAAAGTTTCGTCAGCTCTCCTCATAAGTTCAACATTATGTAAAGGAATTTTAGAATCGTCTTCCGTCTACTCATATAAATGAATTGACTGACTTCATCTTAGAAAAGTCGTTATTAGCGTAGTTAGATGTAAGGGGGAAGACAGAGTATTGTATAGTGGAGGGGAGTAGAGTGAAGTACAGTACGAGGTATTCATTATTGATTACCGGAAGTGTTTCTTTAAAAAATATTTCCCACTTACTTCACTAATAATGTTAGTTATTGTTTTTTATGGATCGTCGATGATATACCCAGTAACGGAAATTATTTTCATTGGATGGAAAGGCTTCACTTGATGATTCAAAAACAGAATGTATAGGTAGATAACCTAAATTATTTAGCAATGAAAAAAAAATGGATGTGTATATTCGAGATAAAATTAGTTAATACTTACTTGAAAAATTCAAAAATTAGAAGGCAGCAAATGATTGTTTCGTTCTTATTTGAAACTCTTTAGCATGGCTTACCAATGATCCCACTTTAGCGAAGTTAAAGCAAAATGATCCAGGAATGTGGGCCGACCAGTGGCCTTGAAGGCATACTAGTCATTGGATGATGGCACCTATAGTTATTATAATGCCACAATGAAGGAATTCAGGTGTAAATCTCATCCTTGTTTGGATAATGGGTCGATATCTCATTAGGTTTACATTAAGGATTAGGGTTAGGGAGTTTAATGTTTATTATTGGCATTTTCCTAGTAAATAGTTTGTGATCCCCTTACTAGAACCCATACAAATTCAATGAAAGGCTTTTGAAGAAGACTGGAAAGCAGGACAAGATTGATGAATACGTCAGAACATAATGATTTAGCTAAGGTCACAATTAGTGACCGCATGAAGATAAGTTATTTAGGAGACAACTCAGCTATAGCACCGTATGCATTAACACACAACCACACAATAGGGTAAATGGGAGTGGGTTAAAATTTGAAGAAGTAATCTAGGTAGATGGAAAGCGAGACAGGTTGACTACTGAATCCTTGTTCACCGAATCTACACCTAGCACATGCGATAGGAATGATTTATCATCACGAAAACCAGAGATCTAGGAAATTCTACTACCAGTCGTCAAATCAAGAGATGAAAAACAATAATGGAATGATACAAACAAATTTGAAAAGTTGTGTGAGTACCTTGATATGTTTATGAGTAGTAATAAATTGTGCTCGAAATGTGGTCATCAGTCAATATTACTTACTGTATAACAACACTGTGAGACTTCATCAAAATAAATTTTACTCATAATGGAATTATACTGTACCACCACAGTGCTCAAGTTCTATTCTTGTGTCAACAGTACCATTCTTTACATCGAACTTAAATCTTCTCATCTGTTACAAGATGCAACTCAAAGTTATTCAGCGATATGCCATACACCGGCCCTGAGATTTCAGGTTGAATTGGTTTCAAGCTAGATTGTAATACAAGTGAACATCATCTGGTGAGTACTTGTCTTCATACCTCACTAGATTGGCCCCCCCCAGGTTACGACCCCCTTCACTAGGACTCGAGGCAACATCATCCTGCTAACAGTCACTAGTGAGCCCTATCGAAACATTGGAATTTTTATCTTCAGTTTATCTTCAAGAATGTTAGTTCGAGAATCATTAAAAATCAAGGAGTACTAACGCCTCCAGTTCTATCTTGTTTGGGAATATTCACCACCACTTACCCATGAGTCCACATGTTTACTAATAATGCTTTCTGGCAGGGTGTTCACATTATTTCCGGCAATTTGCAACATCATCTATAGTCTGGATATTTACAATGTAAACCTTTATTTATTTATTTTTTAATTTTATCGTTTTCAGTAGTTTGATCTGCCCTTCTCTCTAGTTCATTATTCAACATGATATAGCGAAGTGCTTTAATTTTTTTACAAATATCTCAATGGTTTAATAAGGGGCACCGAAATTTCTAGGCTGAATGTAGAACTCCTTTGAGGCGTTGATTCGGATCAGTTATTGTTAAGATCACGGAGAATAGGTTCATGGAGAATACTCACATTTGCATAACTTTTTTGTAAAACTGTACAATTTATGTAGTGATGTGTAAAGGTCATGAAATCGCACTAGGAAGGTAAGTGTCAGTATGAACTAATACGGAAACTACATGAGATTACGGGATAGGAAAAATGATAAATTATGTAATCTGAAATATTAAGCGATAAATATAGTTCAGAAATGGTTATCATTAAAAGACAATTCACAACAGAAAATTTTCTATATGAAAGAAATCATCCTCAAAAGATGTACAGTTCTACTCATATTAACCAAACACATTATTGTTATTGTTCCGTTGGGTTCCTAGTGGAATACAGGGTCTCAACTGCACGTCTCCACTTGCCACTTCTGTCTTCCTTCTGCTGTTCTTTTCACCTGCATCCGTGTTAGTTAGTCCATATTGCTTCAACTCCTTTTCACACGGTCTCCTCCATGTCATCCTTGCACTGACGTCCCACTCGCCGCTTTCCTTTCGGCCTGGTTCCACTCAAGCAATGACCTGACGAGCGCGCGATGTCAACCAGAGGCCTCCTCAGCGAGTGTCCAATCCATCTCCACTTTCTCCTGCATGTTTGTTGGTTGGTGATTGGTTCTTGTTTCGTTTGTTTTTTCCCAGCCATAGTTTCTTGTTGGTGATTCTTTCCGGCCATCTGATCTTCCGTATAACGCGAAGACAGTTGTTTGTTGATAAAGGTCTGCAACAGGTTGTTGGAAATATTCTTTGTGACCCGCCCGCCAAGTTTCTGATCCGTATGGAAGAGCTGACTGACTTGATGTTTGTATTGAAAATCCAACCGAATTTTGTTGTTGATGCTGGCTGAGTGACGAAGATTTCCAAATTGGTTTCAGATTGATGAGTGTGTTTCTCGCCTTCCCGAATCTCGCTCAATTTGACATCCTCGTCCGTTCCAGCTGCCTGTAGTTAAGACAATGCTCCCTCTCTGGATTAGTGAATGAAGTGACCCCTTTCAAATCCCTCCCGTTGATAGTGATTGGAGCTGGATGTCGCTGCTTCCGTTGTTATTGTTGGTTGGTTATTTGCATAACCTCCGTCTTGTCTATGTTCACCAGGAGTCCTGTCTTCGCCGATTGCTTCTTCGACCAGCTTGTCGGTTTTTACTTATAAGTCTTCGATTTTATTTGACATCAAACATAAATCATCGACGCGCGAAATCCAGGTCTTCTAGATTCTTCACGTCAATCCCGGATATCCCTATCGTCTCGTTTCCCACCGTCTTATGCATATTCCATTCCACCACAATTAGGAATATCATTGGTGATAATAAGCACCCTTGTCTTATTCCTGGAGAATAACTAATTTAATAATTTAAAGAATAATATTAATAAAGTATGTTATTATCATCTATATAAACATTGCAATTTCAGGTAGTCTGCAACTGATGAGAACTTATGAAATAGAATGACATCGTTTTACACTGCAAATTTCGCCTTCCTTTTTTCATTGAAATATTAATAATAGCGTTATTCTGAACAGCGTTCATATCTAATGTACAGAATCTTAAGCGGAGTTTATCACATGACATTTTCTCTTCATTCCAGATCTTCAGACTGAATATTAAATGACGGTAGATCCTGTGACACACAGTGCTCTCCAAACAGGAGTGGAAACCAATCCATCATTATGATATCTCTTCTTTGTCTCCGTGTTATGTACAACGACATTTTGTTGAATGCTAGTTATAAAACGTTCAGGAATACATTTTGGGGAACCAAGGATATCACTTGGGAACTGTCGTTGCATATAATGGGATAAGATGTCATCCAGGATAATACCTTTTCTCAAGCTTAATAGAAAGAGGTGAATTAGAAGGTTGTTAGTACTTTCAATACTCGCTAGAGTAAATAAAAGCATTATAGGTCATACCTTAATCGATAAAAACAAAGTTAATAGGGTAAATGACATGTCATGTGACTATAGAGGCTTCCAGTAGCCTACGTTTTAAGCAGTCCACCAAGAAATCGCTTATATATCCTTTATTTTAATTATCTTTTCGCATTTCCTCCTTGTAAATGTTAATACACGTGAAATTTCATCGTAAACATCATTGCATCTCGGTGTTACTCAAAATAACTGAAGCGAGATTGTGACGTAAATAACCCACATGGAGAAGATCATGTGAGGAGGATGTCAGAGACTGTGGGACATCATAAGGCCACCTGAAGAGGACACTAGAGAGTAGGTCAAAGTGGAGATTTGGTGTTGAATCCCTATGTTTCACATGGAACTCAAAGGAATAATAATAATAATAGTATACTAAAAGTCAGTCGTTATGAAAGTCTTAGCTAACTCAGAAGGTGATGACTAGAGGTGATCTGGTAACCGGTTGAAGAGAGGGTGAAGTAGTAATACTGCAAACCTGTTGAAATTAGGGTTATCATTCCCCTTTACAGTCATCGGGCATTTCATAAATAGTGTTCTATCCACCAAAGGTTAATTTAAATAGATTGGACATATTGTTCATAACTAGATGGTTGGAGGAGATCGGCAGGAAGTCTTGCCCTGGACCTAGGTTTCATGCTAGTTGGCAGTCACCAGTCAGCAAGGTGTGTCTATCCTTTCTGAAATTCAAACCCACGTCATCCAATGCTGCAGTCAGAGGTGTTACCACTGAGCTATTCGGGTTTGCTACTGACTTGCTGTAGGACTGTACTGAACACTTTTGATTGGACCTCCAATCACCTGATGTCAACAATTCCAAGTGCACCGTGTTGGCCAGCTACCTAGAATGGTGGCCACATGGCAAACGTGACTGAAAAACAAAGGATAAGATACATTGCACTAGTTACTAACTAGTGCCCAATCAAAAGGTAGGGAATATATTTGTAGTTATGAGTAAGGTGTTAATCAGAACTAGCTGGTCAAATGAATGACCGACACAGATCTGTCATAGGAACACCACACAAAATCTAAAGGGTATAAAAATTCAACAGTTTACAACTAAGACAATATATCTGTAATTTCATTTGATTGATGATGGCTACGAACAGAATCTAGGATGTGTATTTCGTCTTGCCTGGGATTCGTCAGATGGGTGTATGTGTGTCTCAGTGGGTGTTGGTATTTGCACTAGAGCCTGAACCTACCCTTCAATGCTTAAAGCGACAAATGGCTACTAAGCCATAAATGATAACTTAAGATTCACTCACTTATTACCTACCCACCTACCTACCTGGTATCAAATTTTAAACAAGTGGGTTATAAATTATCAATGAGGTTTTGTGCCATTTGAGTTACGAAATCTATTGCACTGAATCACTCCTGTTATGATGTGTCAGTGTTATTATTTTTCAGAGAAATTTCC